AGTTGGCAATTATAAATTGTTAGGCCAACAACGACGACGACAAAAAAGAAGAAGAAGTTGTCTGCCAATTTTGGATTTTTTCCATGTGGAGGATAATAATCCACAAGGCAAGTTTTTCATAATTTTTTGCATTTGTTTTTTTTTCTATTTGGGACTCTTGTCTAATCGCCTAACTCCAACTATTGGTTTTTTACAACTCCACTAGTTCGGCTGGCGTTTTCCAATTCCAACAACTGATAGTTTGAGGTTAAGATTATCATAATTTTTTGGTTAAAAGAAAACTTTTTTTGTTTCAGGATGCGAAGTTGCTTTTTTTGTTTCTTTTCAGAATTGTTTAAAAATGGATTTGAATTTTGGGTTCTATTTTTGAAATTATGATGAGAATGTTGGGAAAAGAAGTTTTGGTAGTTTTTTCTTTTGGACAGCAGACATCAAATGCTGTGTAATGGAAATGGGGTTAAAACAGAAAGTCGGCTAAATGAAAAATTTGTCAAGCCGAAAAAAAATTCTGCGTAATTTTAAATGGAATTAGCTGCCAAGAGATGTAAGAAAAGGTTGACAAGTGAGGGGATAGAATAGAACCGAGGGGATTTTTAATATTTTCCGTGGATTTTTTGAAGAATATTTTTCTGAAGTACCAGCAAAGCTATAGGCTTGGATTTTTTGAAGAATATATTTTAAATGCCAAGCAGAGCTATAGGCGTGGATTTTTAAAGAATATATTTTAAATGCCTAGCAGAGTTATACGCGTGGATTTTTAAAGAATATATTTTAAATGCCTAGCAGAGTTATAGGCGTGGATTTTTTTTTTTGAAGAATATTTCTCTGAAGTACCAGCAAAGCTATTGGCTTGGATTTTTTTTTTGAAGAAAATTTCTCTGAAGTACCAGCAAAGCTATAGGCGTAGATGTTTAAAGAATATTTTTTGAAAGCCTACCAGAGCTATAGGCTTATATTTTTAAAGAATATTTTTTGCAGGCATACCAGAGCTATAGGCGTAGGTTTTTAAAGAATACTTCTTGAAGGCCTACTACAGCTATAGGCGTAGGTTTTTAAAGAATATTTTTTGAAGGCCTAGCGGAGCAAAAGCCGTGGATTTTTAAATAATATTTTTTGAAGGTCTAGCGGAGCTATAGATGTGGATTTTTAAATAATATTTTTTGGAGGTCTAGCGGAGCTATAGATGTGGATTTTTAAAAAATATTTTTTGAAGGTCTAGCGAAGGTATAGATGTGGATCTTTAATGAATATTTTTTTGAAGTACCCGCAAAGCTATGGGCCTGGATTTTTAATGTTCATCTTTGGTTTTTCCATAATCTTCGAAACGAAATTAAGAAAAAATTAACTCAACAGAAAGAATCTTGAAAGGAGTAGTTAAATGACGAGAAATGTCGATTTTGTTGAATTGTACATTTTTGTAATATTTTTTAAGCTGAGGTTTTATATTTTTTCCTCGGTTGCAAATTCTTTAAAAATCAAATCACAAAGAACTGGTCTTTGGTCTATGTCTATCTACGGATTACGTTTTAGTTATGCTTACAAAATTTCTTTAAAAAATCCACGCTTTGAGGTATGACTGTGCTTATTCTCTAAATAATCCAAGATTCAAGTTAAATAATTCTTTAAATGAAATTCTGTACATATTTTAAAAAATCGACTGTCCAAGATTATAGCTCTGCAAAATCTTATAAAATAGTCTTCAAAATAGTTCATGATAATTACTCGGTTATTGCCAAATAAAAAATTCTCAAAATGTTTTGCATTCTGTCAATTTGCAAAAAAAATATTTTAAAGATCCATTTTTTTTAAATATACCCTCTTATACCCTTAATAAAAAAATTTTTGTCAAAAATACACGCTCCTAGCTCATCCAGAACTTAATAACATATCTTTTGAGAATCTATGTTCGTACTTTGCTTTACTCATATAAAATATTCTTCCAAAAAAATCAATATTTGAACTCTGATATTAATTTTAAAATATATTAATTTAAATATTAGTTTAAAAAATATTAATTTAGAACTTTGCCATTTTATAAATATGGTCTGCGAAATTTAGAATTAAATTTACAAATATAGAAATCCATCAATTTAAAAAAAAATATATATATTCTTCGCATTTTTTATCCCTTGGTTTTCGAAAATCATAGATTTACCCGACCCAACATCTCAATATTCTACAAATTAACTAAAATTTTACTTCAAAAAACTCCAAAGACAACATCAAACACTTGGTCGAGTACAAAAAAATTAATACAAAATAAAACAAACTCCAATTCAAATAAATTCAAGAAATCCAATATCATGATGTTAGGAGACTTCAAGCCAGAAAAAAATGAAAAACAATGCGGAAAAAGCACTAAATTACAGAACATTAAACTCTTCTCAACATAACAAGAACAAGAACAACAACAATTAACACTACAACTCATTTACATAGGAAAAAGTGCAATGCTAAACAATACAACAACGAAACGAAATAGAGATGGACTAAACATGGTCTGGTATTTAACAAGAACACCTAACAAGACTTCAGTTCGATGGAGAAGAAGAACCAGAACGAGGAAAATCAACAGGGCAGGGAAGCTTTTATGCACACTGTCACTGAGTCATGTTCTTGCTTAACGATTTTCCAACGACTGTAATTACGAATGACTCTATCACCAAAAATAGTAAAAGAAACTTAGTTGGGACCCATACACTGACATAACACAACGAACTCCAATCGGTGGATGGATGGTGCCTTTGCAACATGTGTGGTGTGTGCTGCTGCAAAATTTTGCTTTCCTCTTGCTTGTCCACATCGTTGAAAGAAGCAACAATTAAAAAGGCGAAAAAAAATATTTAGAGCAAAAAAGAAAAACTTCGTTTTTGCGTAAATATTTCTTTCAGCCTGTTGCCTACATCCACCAACAATTTCGTAGTAGAGCTGGTATCCGTATTCGCTCTGTTCGCCTCTGTGTACTATGTTTCCTGTAGCAATTCCAAATTCTGTTTGATGTTACTGTTTAGTTTATATTTGTTCAAAACCGAGAAGATAAGGAAATTTTTAATTTGTAGCACTGAATAATAGGGAGAATTCGTGTGTGTGTGTGTAGTTCTCTGAGTGGAGTGGGAGAGAGAGAGCGAGCGAACGTATAACCGGCCGGATTATTTCTTGGTACTTTGTGAGTTTCCTTTGTTAAGTTGAACAGCCAAGCAGCCAGCCATGCATTCACACATGCAGCAGGCCTTTAAACGTGCATTAAATGCATAATGTCACACAACAAAGGTGGCTATCATTTCTCCCTCTCTCTCGCTCTATCTGGCCACCAGAGAATTGAGAGTAAAAATATTGTATTCTTTTTTCTTCTTTCAAAATTAAATCACTTTAACACAGTGACACACATGTCCAATTTCATGTGTGTGCATGTTTGCCTCTTCAACACATTGACTTTCCATGGAAATGCATGTGTATGTTGTTGTTGTTGTAGCACTCTCTGTGTACAGCACCAGCCATTTGTTGCATGTTCTGTTAACAAATTTTTATAAATTTCCCCTACTTTTAATGCTACGCTCATATGCTGTTGAATGCATTCAATGCAGAGAATAAGGGAAATGAGAGCGAGGGAGAAGAGAGAACGAACGAACATAAATCCATGTGTGTTGTTATTCTTGTGAAAACACAACAAGTTTTCATCAGCAGAAGAAGAATAAGAGGAAGAAAAATTACACTAGCCCATACTACTCGCAATTATATGAAGAACATCATTATGACCATAGTAGCCAACAACAAAAATAATAAAAACAACAACAACACTGTTAGTACTGTGAAATGAGAACATTTATGAAAGCATAACAAATGTAATGCACTCTGAGAGAAGACTCATCGGGCAAAACCAAACATAACTGAGTAATAGGTAGGCAAGAGCATTTTATAATTGCATGTTATCGAGAGATAGAGAGTCAAACGACACTGTGTGTGTATGACTGGCTCTGTGTGACATAAACGAATGCATGCACGAATGCATCTCCGGTATAACGGGCTCTCACTATGTGCTACGAGTATCCGTATCCGTTGTGTGTGTGAGTGGCTATGTGTGTGCACACACAGAAAATGTTAAAACAACACACAGTTCGTTGTAATGCATTTCGTGGCTGTTGTTGTTGTTATTGTACTTAAACGTAGAGTGTGAGTAGTTGTTGCTTGACTTGTTTGTTTGCTTGCTTGCCAGTAGTTTGGTGCTGTATGTGTGTGCGTGTTGTTGCTGTCTTTATATCGGTGTAATGTTAGTTTTATGGCAGCATGGACACACCGACACGACTACTATGGCCACATACTCTCGCCCAAAGAGCAAACAACACACAGAATTTTATTTTCAACGAGGCAACGGAGTCTCAACTAAACCGAATCATAATCAGTTTGAGTTGAAACGTTAAGCGGTAAACATGTTTTAGAAAAATAGCTCTTCCGTTACTAAAAATACAATTTTTTACTTAACACACATCCACAACAAAAAAAAAAATCATTTAACTTAGTAATAAAAAAATTCAAGACGAAGAGAAAAATAAAATTACAAACGAATACTTAACGTCTCAATATAAAGAAATAATAAATATATATTAATGGAAACGAAACAAAATAAATAAAAAAAATAGTGAAATAAAAATAAACGCTTGTTACGTTACGTCTGACCTACACACACATGGATTACGGGTTTACGGTTTTACGAAAATAAAACAAGCGATCACAAATAAAAATTACAACAAGTGACAATATTTGTTCAACAACAAAAAAACCAAAAAATGCAACAATAAATAATTAAAACAAAAAATATTTTGTGAAAACAATTAGAAGAAATTCTAAAACAATTTAGCAACAATGAAAGAATAACAAGCCACAAATCACAACGAAAAGTGTGTTCAAAACTCAAAGTGTAAATCACAAAAAAATCCATCGAACACCCATCACCAGGACTCTAAGTCCATCACCAATATTTTTTTTGCCTCATCATCACAAAAATAAAACAAAACTCCAACAAAATGTCTCTGTACGCCTGCGCCTCGTTTTTGCTACTTACCGCCAGCATTGTTAGCGGTGTCAGTTCACAATGTTCATGGGAATTTGTACGCACAACCATGGACATTAAGTGTAATATACGTGCCATTGATATCACACAACAATTGGATTTACAAGTGGCCGAGACAGCCACACGCCTCGAAATCGCCTGCTCCAATGATGTCTTGTATGCCAGTGATTTGGGTAATAAGACATTTGTGCGTCTTCAAAAACTATCCGAATTGCAAATTGATTCGTGTAAAATGCAACGTCTTGCGGAAAACACATTCGAAGGTTTAATGTCGTTGAAACGTTTAACGGTCCAGACCCACAATGCCGTTTGGGGTCCCGGTAAAACGCTGGACATCTCGCCTCAAGCCTTCTACGGTTTGCGTGAATTGTCCGAACTCAGTTTGGCCGATAACAATATCCGTCAATTGCCCGAAGGTGTTTGGTGCACCATGCAAAATTTACAAGTGTTGAATTTGACCTCGAATCGTATTCGCGCCGCCGAAAGCCTTGGTTTCTCCGAGAAATTGTGCACTCTGAATGGTGCCAGTGGTGCTGCTGAACTCCAAGTCTTGGATGTTTCCTACAATGAACTACGTTCCTTGCCCGATGTCTGGGGTGCCTCACGCCTACGCCGCCTACAACAATTGAATCTACAACATAACAACATTTCCTCATTGGCTGCCAACTCCTTGGCTGGCCTTTCATCGTTGCGCGTGCTAAACCTTTCCTACAACCACTTGGAAACATTGCCAGCCGATTCATTTGCCGGCAACAAGGAATTGCGTGAAATCCACTTGCAAGGCAATGAATTGTACGATTTGCCCAAAGGTCTGTTCCATCGTTTGGAACAATTGTTGGTGCTCGACTTGAGTGGCAACCAATTGACATCTCACCACGTTGACAATAACACATTTGCTGGTCTAATTCGCCTTATTGTCTTGAACTTGGCCAACAATGCCCTCACCCGCATCGGCTCGAAAACCTTCAAAGAATTGTATTTCCTACAAATCTTGGATATGCGCAACAACTCCATCGGTCACATTGAAGATGGTGCCTTCCTGCCTTTGTACAATCTTCACACCTTGAATTTGGCCGAAAACCGTCTACACACCTTGGACAATCGCATTTTCAACGGTCTCTATGTCCTCACCAAATTGACATTGAACAACAACTTGATCAGCATTGTCGAATCCCAGGCCTTCCGCAATTGCTCCGATCTCAAAGAATTGGATTTGAGTTCAAATCAATTGGCCGAAGTACCCGAAGCCGTACAAGACCTCAGCATGCTGAAAACATTGGATTTGGGTGAAAATCAAATCTCCGACTTCAAAAATGGTACTTTCCGCAACTTGAATCAATTGACCGGTTTGCGTTTGATCGACAACCGCATTGGTAACATCACCGTTGGTATGTTTAGCGATTTGCCTCGTTTAAGTGTTTTAAATTTGGCCAAAAATCGCATTCAATCCATTGAACGTGGCGCCTTCGACAAGAACACCGAAATCGAAGCCATCCGCCTGGACAAGAACTTCCTCACCGACATCAATGGCATCTTCGCCACTTTGGCCTCTTTGTTGTGGCTCAACTTGTCGGAAAATCATTTGGTATGGTTCGATTATGCCTTCATTCCATCGAATTTGAAATGGTTGGACATTCATGGTAACTATATTGAAGCCTTGGGTAACTACTACAAATTGCAAGAAGAGATCCGTGTAACCACCTTGGATGCCAGTCACAATCGCATCACCGAAATTGGCGCCATGGCTGTGCCAAACTCCATCGAATTGCTGTTCATCAACAACAACATCATCAGCCAGGTCCAACCCAACACCTTTGTTGACAAAACTAAATTGTCACGCGTCGACTTGTACGCCAATGTCTTGTCGAAATTGGCTTTGAACTCTTTGCGCGTTGCTCCAGTTGCCGCCGATAAACCCGTCCCCGAATTCTATTTGGGCGGTAATCCTTTCGAATGCGACTGCAGCATGGAATGGTTGCAACGCATCAACAACATGACCACCCGCCAACATCCCCGCATCATCGATTTGGCTAATATCGAATGTTTAATGCCTCACAGCCGTAACGCCCCCATTCGCCCATTGTCATCATTGTCCAGCAGCGACTTTGTCTGCAAATACACATCGCACTGTCCCGCCACTTGTCACTGCTGTGATTTCGAACAATGCGACTGTGAAATGGTGTGCCCCGACAATTGTACCTGTTTCCATGACGCTACCTGGTCAACGAACATTGTCGACTGTGGGAAACAAAATCGCATTAACTTGCCGCAACGCATACCCCAGGATGTCACCGATTTGTATTTGGATGGCAATAATCTCCCCGTAATCGATGCTCAGGTGTTTGCGGGCAAACGCAATCTACGTGCTCTCTACCTGAACTCATCGAATGTGGTGACAATTCAAAACGGCAGTTTTTCCGAGCTCAGCATGCTGCGTTCCCTGCATTTGGAGAACAATAAATTGCAGTCTTTGGACGGCAGTGAATTTAATCAATTGTCTCTGCTCAAAGAATTGTACTTGCACAATAACCTGCTCACGTCCATCTCGAACAATACCTTCGGCCCCTTGGTTTCATTGAAGGTTTTGCGTCTAGACAACAATCGTCTCACATCAATGCCCATTGCCCAATTGGCCAGTCTCCAGTACCGCAACAGTCTACAGGGTTTGACAATGGGCCGCAACTCCTGGTCTTGCCGTTGTCAATTCTTGCAGAGCTTGGCCCAGTTTGTGGCCGACAATGCCATGGTCATCCGTGATTCCCAGGACATCTACTGTGTGGATAATGGCGTCAAGCGTGAATTGGAATTGTTCACCCAGCATGGTGTTGACTGCAGTGAATTGTTGGAGAATGCCAGCAACATGGCCTCCCAAGATGTTTCCGGTGGTTATGTACCACTGTTGGCTGCCGTTTTGGTTTTGATCTTCCTCATCGTGGTGCTGATCATTGTCTTTGTGTTCAGGGAATCGGTGAGAATGTGGCTCTTTGCCCACTATGGTGTGCGTGTGTGTGAACCACGTTTCGAAGATGCCGGTAAATTGTACGATGCCATTATTTTACATTCCGAAAAAGACTATGAATTTGTGTGCCGTAACATTGCCACCGAATTGGAACATGGTCGTCCACCATTCCGTCTGTGCATCCAGCAAAGAGATTTACCACCCCAGGCCAGCCAGTTGCAAATTGTTGAAGCCGCCAGGGCGTCGAGAAAAATCATCTTGGTTTTGACCCGTAATCTCTTGGCCACCGAATGGAATCGTTTGGAATTCCGTAATGCATTCCATGAAGCTTTGCGTGGCTTGGCCCAAAAATTGGTGATCATCGAAGAGACCAATGTTTCGGCTGAGGCTGAAGATGTTGCTGAGTTGTCGCCCTACTTGAAATCGGTGCCTTCAAACCGTCTGCTGACCTGTGATCGTTACTTCTGGGAGAAATTGCGTTATGCCATCCCAATTGAATTGTCTCCACGTGGCAACAACTACACTTTGGATCATCATGAACGTTTCAAGCAACCCGTCTCACCTGGTGTTCTATTCAGACAAGCTCCTCCCCCACCAGCCTACTATCAAGAAGATATGGAAGCTAATTATTCGTCGGCCACCACTGCCACACCATCGCCCAGACCCACTAGACATGGCCAGCGTATTGTTGATGCCATGCCAATGCGTCCACCAAGTGAACATATCTATCATAGCATTGAATCGGAATATGGCTATGAACAACACGAAGCCTTGTCCATGATTCCCAATGGTATGTCCACTGGCCGTCATCATCCTCATCATCAGCATTTGGCTCCTCCCTCGAACGCTATGTTTCGCCAAGGTAACAACCCTCGTTTATCGATGAGTGCTGCTGCTGGTGTAAGTCAAGTAGCTGCCGGCCAACAACAACAACAATGGAGACCCTCAACGTTAATGGCCCAGCCACAGCAACAACAAGCTCAATTCCAGCAAGCCACCGCCCCTGTACATTTGCGCAGTGGTAGCAATTTAAGTCAGTGTAGTACCAGTACACAATCCACAGCCGCTTTGGCACAAACGCCTCAGCCACAAGCTTCCACTTCCGCGGCTGCCCAACAGCAGCAACAACAACAGGCAGCTGCCACAGGTGTGACTCCGGCCACAAGTAATGAGGGTTCAGCGCCGTCAGCGAATAAAAACACCACCACCAATCAAGCCTTTTTAGTGTAAAAGGGCAACAACAGCAACAGCAACAAGGGTAAGAAGGGCAGGGTAATAAATAGCAGCAGTCGTGCAAAAGCGACGTGCAAAGCAGCCATTTCTATATTCTACAGCCAAACAGCCAGGGAGAGTTGGATGGATGGACGGACAACGTCAACCACACACACAAAGGCCATATTTCCAAGATGGTGGATATCACATCCGTGTGGAAGCTTGTGTGTGCCGCAGACCCCTCTTTCATGTAGAGCAGTAGAACAACGGATAACCCCATACAAAAACAAAACTCAAAACAAAAATACAAAAGACTTTCCATAGGAATATATAGAGTAGGTAAAACAAAAACAAAAAATATATATGCATTTAGCCAAGAGAAGGATGCGAGGATGCGATGAGGAAGCAAACGGAAATTTGAGGTTAAACACTCAACAAACCGCCAAGGCATAGGGAAGGGTAGACGAGAAAAGCAGTACCACTTTTTTCAAATTCAATGTGATATTAAATAATTATTTAACTAAAAACAAAACACTATTAAACTATTAAAAAAAAACAAACTCTAATGTATTATAAAAAAAGAATAGTTAATCTAAATTAAAACAAAAAAGAAATCGAAAAACATTCAAAGCCACTTAAATTAAAAACAATTTAGCTTATAAATATTATTTTTATTATTATTTGTAATAATTTCATTTTCCAAATAGTTTTTTTTTAAATAAGAAATAACACAAAAACCATTACCACTACATGTGTAAATAGCAGCGCCGACACTTTTGTTTTAGGTTCAGAAAAAAAAATTATAACAAAAATTGTTGTAAATATCGCATTAGTTATTACCTAGTAATTAATTATTGTAATAAATAATAAAAAAATTAGTAAGGCGAAAAAAATGTAATGTTATTTATAGTTTATTCGAAACAAATGTAAATTTCTATTTCCTAAGTATATATATATAATTAGTTATTATTATTATTAAAAAAACACAAAAAGTTAACTAAAACTATTAAAAAAATTCACAAAAAATCCAAAAAAAAAAAAACTATTAAAAATTATAAAAAATCAAATAAAACCAACCAAACACAGCAATGTGGGTAATCATGTTTCTAACATGGTTATTTCAAATATTTCAAAAAAATTAAATCTTTTCTGGAGTTTTTATTTCAACACACAAAGAAGGGGGATTTACATACATCTAAATGGGCAATGGACAAAAGGCAGGGAGGGAGGGCGAGATACACAAACAAAAAATACAAAAATAATAAAAAAACCTTTTTAAAATATGGGACAAAACTATATAATATGAGGAGCAGTGAGCACAGCGACACTAAGCACTCCTTAATCCACAACACAGCATAACGAAATAGAAAAGAACACAAGGCAACAAAAACAACAACGACCATTACTAAAACATAGAAAAAAAGATGCAACAACGGTATTTTTTGTTCGGTGTGTGTGTATTCATTACATTGTTTGTTTAAAACTCTATGAAAACTGGAAAAAATCTACAACAACACGTTCCCAAAAATACACACACACTAAAATGACATTAAATCCTACTAAAAGTGACAATATTTAAGTATGAGAAAGTTTTTTTTGTTCGGTTGTTTTATTTAATAATTAATTTTTAGTGAAATTTTTTTTAAAACGTAAATGCAGTTTGGTTGCAACGAGAATGCATTCATAAATAATATGGGGTATAAAAAATTAATGGAAAGATTTTAGAGTGTTTGAGGATAGGCAATAAACTAATTATTACCATACTTTTGTACTTGTAATAGTAGATTATAGTTAATAAACAAAGTACAGGTCGCATTTATGATCCGAATTGGATGAAATTTGGCATAGGTCACTTATTCGGCCCAAGGACAAACCCTATTGAAATTGGGAAAAATCGGTTCAGATTTATTTTTCATATATATATTTAACCATATATATATTTAACGGATTTAATCTAAACGGTCCCTATATATCTTTCTATTTGCACGAAATTTGGTACAGCCTAATCATTTAGGTCTAGAATGATGTCTGCCAAGTTTTGAGAAAATCGGTCCAGATTTAGATATAGCTCCCATATATAGTTTCGTCCGATTTCATGTAAATGGTGCAACAAAGTCCCTATATATCATTCGATTTGCATGAAATTTGGCATAACGTACTGAATTGAGCCTAGAGTTATGTCTGCCAAGTTTCGAGAAAATCGATGCAGATTTCTATATAGCTCCCATATGTAGTTTCGTCCGATTTCATGTAAATGGTGCCCCAAAGTCCCTATATATCTTTCGATTTGCACGAAATTTGGCATATCGTACTGAATTAAGCCTAGAGTGATGTCTGCCGAGTTTCGAGAAAATCGGTCTAGATTTAGATATAGCTCCCATATATATTTTTGTCCGATTTAATGTAAATGGTGCACCAAAGTCCCTATATATCTTTCGATTTGCACGAAATTTGGCACAGCGTAATGAATTAGGTCTAGAATGACGTGTGTTAAGTTTCCTGAAAATCGGTTCGGATTTAGATAAAGCTCCCATCTATATTTTCGTTCGATTTAAGGTAAATAGTGTACCAAAGTCCCTATATATCTTTCGATTTGCACGAAATTTGGCACAGTGTAATGAATTAAGTCTAGAATGATGTGTGTCAAGTTTCCTGAAAATCGGTTCAGATTTGGATATAGCTCCCCTGTATATTTTCGTCCGATTTTATGTAAATGGTGCCCCAAAGTCCCTATATATCTTTCCATTTGCACGAAATTTAGCGTAACGTACTGAATTTAGCCTAGAGTGATGTCTGGCAGGTTTTGAGAAAATCGGTTCAGATTTAGATATTCCTCCCACATATAGTTTCGTCCGATTTCATGTAAATGGTGCACCAAAGTCCCCATATATATTTCGATTTGCACGAAATTTGGCATATCGTACTGAATTAAGCCTACAGTGATGTCTGCCGAGTTTCGAGAAAATCGGTTTAGATTTAGATATAGCTCCCACATATAGTTTCGTCCGATTTCGTGTAAATGGTATATTTCGATTTGCACGAAATTTGGCATAACGTACTGAATTGAGCCTAGAGTGATGTCTGCTTTGTTTCGTGAAAATCGGTTCAGATTTAGATATAGCTCCCTTATATTATAGAGTGATTTTAAGGAACCAATTAGTACAACCTAACCTGCGACATGTTGGTTTGAAATCGATTAATATTTCGATAGAGCTTCTGTACATATTTTCGCCCGATTTCAAGTAAATTGGGCATCAAACTCCTCATGTTAGTCAGATTGACATCAAATTTTGCACAAATTACAAAATCGAGCATAGAATTACGTAGTTGCGTTTTGTAGAAGTACAGACATAGCCCAACGGATGACCTATTTATATTTGTTTGAAGTCGATTTAGATACTTTATGGATAGATCTAGGTAGATTCACATTTAGATAAATATCACATTTTTTTCACCCAATTTTATGTTATAGTCCTGCTTAATATACCCATAGTGGTGAAGGGTATCATATAGTCGGCCCCGTCCGACTTTACTACTTTCCTTACTGGTTATTTATTTTGAAACCTTAACTACTCAAGAATATCTCATAAAAACTTCGAAAACTGTTGATGAATAGCCGATTTGCGCTATAAGTGGCACGCGGTGGCGATGATATTTTTTTTCCAACAGTTTCGACGTGCATTGCTCGAAACAGTGCCAAGATGGCCCGCCAGAATTATTGGCGTAAATGACATACATTTCCGACGTATAAAACAAATGTCAGAAACATCAAAATCCCATGCAAAAAAAAACCTACTCGTTTTTTGATAAAAGTTTTTTTTTCATTATGGAATATGGAAATAACACATGCATTAATTAATGTTATTCTCAACAAATTTGCTTCCCAGGACTAGTAAGGAATAATCAGAAATATGTAAAAATATTATATATGTATCTGGTAAAAATATTTAAATAAATGACTTATAGTAAATTTTATACAGGTTATTGTCGAAAAAAATGCCACATGGACAATCGCTAAAACAGTGCCACTACGAATTGCTCAATATCGGTTCCAAAAATTTTACACTTCATTCTTCTTCATCATTTTGTAAATTATTGTGCGAAGTTTTTATACCCTTCACCGCACTGTGGTACAGGTATTAAGTGTCTTTGGGAATATGTTTGCAATAGGGAAAAGGAAACGAGATAGACATATGATTCCTTTTGAGAATATCCATAGAATCACTTTCTGGGAAAAATCGGTTCAGAATTAGATATAGCTCCCATATATATTTTCGTCCGATTTAATGTAAATTGTGTACTAAAGTCCCTATATATCTTTTGAAATTTGACATAGCCTACTGAATTGAGACTAGGATGAAGTGTGCAAAATTTCACGAAAATCGGTTCAGATTTAGATATAGCTTCCATATATATTTTCGACCGATTTAATGTCAATAATGCACCAATGACCCTATATATCTTTTGTTTTCCACAAAATCTGCCATAGCGAACATACTTGATTCTAGAATGATGTGTGTAAAATTTCTTGAAAATCGGCTCAGATTTAGATATAGCTCCCATATATATGTTCGTCCGATTTAATGTAAATTGTGTACTAAAGTCCCTATATATCTTTTGAAATTTGACATAGCCTACTGAATTGAGACTAGGATGAAGTGTGCAAAATTTCACGAAAATCGGTTCAGATTTAGATATATCTCCCATATATATGTTCGACCGATTTAATGTAAATGGTTCACCAATGCCCATATATATCATCGATTTGCACGAAATTTTTCATAAAATACTAAGCTAGGTCCAGAATGATGTGTGATAAGTTCCGTAAGTTCGGTTCAGATTTATATATAGCTCCCATATATAGTTTTGTCCGATTTTATGTAAATGGTGCACCAAATTCCTGATATATCTTTCGATTTGCACGAAATTTTGTATAGTGTGATGAATTGAATCTAGAATGCCGTGTGCCAATTTTCGAGAAAATCGGATCTGATTTATATATAGTTTCCATATATATT